CAGAAAATAAAGCCCTCTCTCTTTTCCTCCGTACCCAAATCTCAAAAAATGGGGGTACAACGGAGCTGATCCAGATTTGCGTCCGATATGACGTAATATCTGAAATGTGGACCCACGGCACTATCAGAAACGTTGCTATCAGAAAAAATGCCCGACTGTTTTGGACGTAATATGGTCGGTGTTTACATTAGCATCGCTAACACTCAGAGCTAACCTGTACTGGAGAGCATGTGTGTGAAGAAGCAGGAAATAGAAAGGAACTCACCTTGTGGTATAACCGGCAAGAGAGAAAGCCTTTGAGCTCCATACTGTTTCAGAGATAATCCTTGATAATCCATGATATGGCGTTTCATCACGGCAGTATTTAGTTTAGACAGTAGCTGCCGGGTCCCGCATGAGCTCAGACCCCTCCTTTTTTTCTACATTATATTCATTTTCCTTTTATAAAAATATATAATTTCATAGTATAATTTTGTATAGACATATAGATTACTTTTCTTTTTTTAAGTATTATTTGTATACTTATTTGTATTCTCATACTATGTTTATTTGTTATCCATGGTTTGTGTACTTGGCAATACACCAGATTCTGTCAGTGTTTGCAGTATGTCATCTCTATGAAACATGCACATTTCGGACGTGTTTGCAGAACCATGCCGGCATATTTGCTGCCTCTGCGGACTCTGTGCTGTTTGTGTTTCAGACTCACTTGAACTTGAGCTCTCTGGTGAGCTCGTTCTGGGTTTGCTCCAGCTCCTGCCGGCTCCTCACGTGCTCGTCGTTCACATCCTGGATCTCCGCTTTAATGCACTGAAGCTTGGCATACAGCTATGAGAAAGGAAGGGGAAAGAAAGAGGGTGAGGAGGAGGGGGAGAGATGTCGCTGAGGAACTGTAGCTTGGTTGCCTGTAGCAACAGCACTGGAGGCACTGGTGTCTGGAGAGATGGGCAGCCAATGGGAGCGAGGCAACATGGCCGCCCTCCATCTCTCCTCCTCCTCTGTTCATGCTTTGAGTGAACAGGCTTTGAACAAGTAGGCTAATCCCGAGTGTAGTTAGCTGAGAGATGACTCTGCAAGTGTTCATGTCTGAGGGAGAATCTGATCAGTGAGAAGCAGCTGGTAGTTAACTTGTTGTGACAGCTTCATTTTTTAGAAAAGAAAACACTTAAGAATTGCATTTAATATTAAAATCATTTTTGAGATTTTGAAAAGTATTAAAATGTGGACCATGCAAACAATTCCAGTGCACAAGGACATGATGCTTGAAACTCAAGAGGTACGTGTCGGATGGATTAAAAGGTGTTTTGTTGATTATTTCCTTGTATTCACATTCTACCTCTTGCTTCTGGGAAACTGTCCAAGCATTACATGTGAGATGGTGATTCGCAGTCTTTTCTATAAAAGATTCATGGAACTAAAGCTTGAATTAAACGTAACACAAAGGCTTAATTAGCCACAGGCCCGTTAGAGATACTGACGGCAGGTAAAAAAAACACTGCAAAACTAGACAGATGTATCGTTTATGGTCACGCATTAAACGATACATCCTCCAACACACATGAACGCACACATGACCAATGAGGGCACGAGATAAGTTTGTGCACAGATGGAAGGCTGACAGGCAGGTAGGCCATCCAGTTATTTTAGCCAGGCCGGCTCAGATGATTGGTCGTGCTTTTTACAGTACTACGGCTTCCACAGATGACATTATTTTATGTATTTAATATCAAAGCATTTAATTTATTCATTGCTATCGGGATGTTAAGAGCATTCCATGGAATATAACAAAAAGTGTATCTCGAGCCGGTTTCTCAAACTTACCTACCCCACCTTTAAGTGAGTTTTATACTTGCTACGTGTTGAATAGAGCACTGATAGGGAAGTTCAGTATGTTTCATGACTGCATTTCCTTTCCTTAAAACCTCACCAGAACAAGCAATCTACTGAAATCAGAGCTAATTTTACAACTGCTGTCTGCAGCGCTCTCGCACAAAAATGGAACAACTAAACACATGGTTGTCCTCAATAGTGACTTAGATGCAAAAACAGAGAAATAATTGGATTTAGGTTCAAACATACCAAAAGTACCCTTTCAAAAAGTTATTTCTGACAATTATGAACCACTCTGTTCTAATTTAGCAGTAAAAAGAGCCGCCTGAGCTCTTAAATGACAGCGTGATTAATCTTAATCCTCAGAGAGACGACACCATGCTCAGGAGAAGGTAACGTCAGGGCATCAGGAGAGCAAGGATCATGACAGGGTCATTAATCACATTGGCATCCACACACACACACACACACACACACACACACACACACACACACACACACACACACACACACACACACACACACACACACACACACACACACACACACACACACACACACACACACACACACACACACATTCCAGAGGGGATTTGAAAGCTTCCCAGGAGACTTCATGCTTCATCCAGACAAAGGAAAGATTCCTCCTTTCAAACACCCGCTCTTTCAGAGACACTCTCTCTCTCTCTCTCTCTCTCTTACAATCACACACTCTGCATACAGCTGTTTGATCTCTAAAAGCTGCTGATACTACCAGTCAGTTAAGTGTAACTTTCTCTATTATGATCAAAATATTATCTGGACAACTTATAGCAACAGTCATGCCACTCCTTCAAAATGCCCTTGAGTGAGACACCAGAAACACACTCTGCAACCTTTGTTAGAGCCTAGAGGACATCTCATGTTACCAGACCAAAAAGTGCTCAATATCTCAGACATATTTGATAAAAAAACTGGGGTACACAGACACATCAGGAGCTGAGCTAGGAGAGAGAGATATTTTACATGTGCAGCTCTGATTTGAGACTTGTTTTCTGAGTTTACAACTATAAAAGGAGAAATCCGGTTTTATTGTTATCCATGTGTTTGGGAACGCCTGAGGTCATCAATTTTCATATTTTATTTTCAACCAAAACCAACAGTCCAAATGAAAAGATATTTAGATGATTTCATAAAAACAAGCAGAGTAGCACATCCAAACCTTTAGAAAGCTGTTACCATTATTTGCTCTGTGTTTTTGGCTTGATTCCTTTAAATAACTTTGTTTCTTCTTCAAAAAGTTGCCAGTTAAATTGTATGAAACATCTTACTCACTGACTCATGTTACAGAACAATAATCAGATAGTGTGCTTGTTTGGCAGTGCAGTTCTGGGTCTGCACAGGAAATAGAGTGGGTCTTAGATTGGCATCATCATTTGAAATGCAACTTGGGGGAAAACAAATATCCTCAGGATAAATAAAGTTGCAAACTGGGACACGCTGACTCCTTCATAGCAGGAGAATTAAAAGACCTGCCAGCCGTGACCCTAACCTCCTGCAGATCTTAAGAACCGAGTGTTAAATCTCGAGTATGTGTCCCCTTGCCAACACTGACCTCAATTACAGAGAAGTCCTTGAACAAGGCAGATCAATTATTAAGTGTTAAAGCAATGGTTTGACCTTTTGGGAAACACGCTGTCAGATTCCAGCAAGCAAATGAGTTTTCCTAAATGGTGAACTAGTCCTTTAAAGAAGCTGAACAGGTGGTTGCATGTGAGTCCAACAAAATGTGTTGATGCCGCAGTTTTATAGAGTCATTACACATTTATCGAAGAGCTTTGGACGTTACAAAAGCCACAAAAAGAGCCTCCCCTTCGATCACCAGTTACCACCCTGGACCCCCATGGTGAGTAATTGTTATTTCCAGCCTCAGTGATAACTACACCCCGTCTGTCTATGTCTGTCTGTTGGTGTAAAGTTGACATGGGGGAACATTTGGTCGGTGAGGTTTGCTTCCTATTTTAACTCTGCAAGCTTTAAACTATCTTAGATATAATTATCCTTCCCGCAATTACCCTCAACTGAGTCAGAGGGCCAGGAACTGCCTGGCTGCCGTTTTCCCAATCACTGGGTCAAAGGAAAAAAGGTTGGTCACAGGAATTACATCCAAATATTGGATAAAAGTGATGACCAACTCAAACAGACTTTTACCCAGGTACCTGTTTCATAAATAAATGGTGTTGCCTGTAGCAACCTTACCAAAGTTAACTCAAAATAATAAGAGTAGGTCAAATCAAGCTCAATGTTATTGGAGGTAAACACATCATTATCCTGAAACCATTCAAGTTACAGTTAGATATTTCAGGCTGGACTATTTGACGAACATGGCAGAAAATACAATGTTTTAGTTATGACAATTGTGAATATTTTTAGGCTGTTAAAACATAAAGTCATTGCATTATTTGGGACGGTAGAAGAGACATTTCTTTGGATTACATATCGAGTTGATAATGACATAGATAGTGTAAAATAGATATGTTCTGCGACCAAAATGTAACATCTAACTTTCATTGACTAAAAACACACAGAGGGTTAAAGTTGTAAGACGATAACACAGAGGGGAGCTCAAACATCGCCCTGGTAACGACCCGTCAATCACAGGGAATCCCGCCCTAGAGCACACCCAGCTTTATTGTTCTTTTAACTCTAATTTACTAAATAAACACCATGCTGTATTGGAGAAGACTTGGACCTAGCAATTAAGACCATAAAGTCATTAGGAAAATGTTTACTGAGGTAATAAATCAAGTAAAGAACATTTTCTCAAAGACTTCTACACATCAGGAGCAGTGGAAATTCCATTTTCAGACCTTGAAGTTGCTGCCTGATAAAGAGCTTTGTGGACAAATCAAACACCTGTATTAGTGAATCGTAAGCAGTGAACATCGAGATTTGTTGTCACTTATCGGTGTATAGAAATGCCTCCACACACTTAATGGAAAATCCCAAGTTTTAGCAACAGATGTCTGACAGAGTACTTCATTTGTGCCGTGTCTCGGTTTTGCAAAGTTAAGTACAGAAGACAAGAGGAAGAGAACAAAGTGAACGGAAGTGGAGAAAGGTATAAGCATGTGTTTGTGTGGGTGGCAATGCACACTGCTCTGTTGCACCGGGGTGCTTTATTATGGCTGATATTTGCTGAGCTTTACCCGAAACAAATAGCACACACATTCCTGAGAGGACACACTTTCAGTCACACAACACTTCTGGCTTAAGATGGGTTTAGAAAACAGAGTTGAATGCTTACATGTTCAGTGTGTGTGAGTGTGACGTCAGATACTACAACATATACTACACAAGTGTGAGTGTGTGTGTGTGTGTGTGTGTGTGTGTGTGTGTGTGTGTGTGTGTGTGTGTGTGTGTGTGTGTGTGTGTGTGTGTGTGTGTGTGTGTGTGTGTGTGTGTGTGTGTGTGGTCATACCTTTCTGTGTAAGGGGGTCACACAGGACAGAGGAGCTTTAATAATGGAGGGTCTGGAGAAGAGAAGAGAGAGCAATTTGAAAAGTCCTTTCAGTCTGTAGACAATAATGTCAAAAGTTCTTTGTGGATAGCGAAGGACACACAGAAAACACAACCGGTCGGGTACACACTCTCCCACATCTCTATACATTCTGTAGACCTATAAACATTCATTTCTCTATAAATACATGCTTGTTATTTATTGTTTGTTGTCACAGCTGATGGGATCGTCTCTAAAAACAGCTCACATCCTTTAATAGTGCATATTTATGTTACATTAAATCGTTTTTTGTATTTATGACTGATGCATTGCCGTTTCTTCTGAACGAAAGACTTTAACTGGTAGTATTTCATATCAGCCATCACGGATATTAATCATTTTCTTAAAACCAGGGCATGAGAAAGCAACAGATCACAAAGTACACCCTCTACTTATGAAATAGTCACGCTTGTCATTTTAAGTTACTCCTTAACACAGGAATTTGGATAATTTCAGGTTATTACATTTATTAAAGTCAATCCAAACCAAGTTCTTCATCTTCTTGACATATGCCCAGAAACAAGTTTTGAGCGTTTGGAAGTAATTATTCAGTTTTTTGATGAAAATATTAGAACAGGACAGTAAATGCTGAACCGCTGCCCAGGTGGCACAAAACCCTCCCAAAAACAAAATATGATAATTATAAGGAACTGACATGGCAGTGTTTAACAAGCTCTCACAGCAGCAGAAGTCAACAACAAAGAATACAAAATAATCGTCCCACAGAGACTCTAACTCAAGCCTTAAGGATACAAACAAACAAATAGGATAATTATGCTCTTGCATTAGCCTATGTTAAGGCTAAATTCCTGCATACAGCTATAACAGATAGGTGTGACTGCAAAGACAACCTAAAGTAAATATAGTTATGTAAACTACATCAAGCCTGAATATCACTCAAGCACATGACAACAGGAAGTCACATGCTGTCAGCGGGTGTCAAGCTAAGACAGACTGATAGCTGATACAGTAAGTGAGTATTTGACTAGATCTTAAAATGCCACAACAACCAAAAAGCTGCAACATTTAACGCCAATAGCTATTTTCAAATGTGTTTGCTATCACATTATCAGCAGACATGTCGACATATCAGTGACCAGAATTAGATGTTCCTGTTTGCATCTGGTTAGCCTCAAATGCCACACTTGATAGAATCATCACATTGAAAGGTGTCAACATGCCACGAGATGTTCCGCTGTACTTTCATAACATGTTGCCCACTTCCACTCTTCTTCACACCAGTTAGATCAGGAGACCGAGCTTCAACAAAGCACTGAAAGACTTCTTTATTTTAAGTTTGGAATTCATACCTGATGTGTTTAGCGGAATAATCAATTAAGTATCAATCATTTTCAACTAACAAATACAAAAATCATGGAAGTCTCTGATATATCACAGCCTTTTGTGTCACTTGTATCGAGCATTGAATAATGGGAGATAGTGTGGCTGTAGTCTTAATACAAATTAAATACATCGTATGTATAATACACAGATCGTATCAATAATTCCATTATAATGATATTCATTATTTGCAGCCATTTATCTGAACATTAACCGATAGCCTTCTCAAGCTATCATGCATGACAGCATGATGCAAATATTATGACATTTAACGTCGTCAACATTTACTTATTCACTCTCTTCTCACTACACAGTGTTTGAGTGATCGTGTGTACTGTAGGAGGATTGCACATCAGTGCAGACTAGTCAGACCACCCAACCAGTGCACCTGTGCATTTACCACACGTACACACACATGCCCACACACACTCTCACAGTATCTCATCTGAGCAGTGGTTACACGTGTCTGTGCAGCCCGACACCTGAAGAAGGCAAATTTGTTCCTGAAAACAAATAAAAACTCTGTCTTGCACACCTGTTCTTAAGAATCAGTTGCTCTCGGCCTAAAACGTAAAAGCTACAGTCTTCAAAACCACTCTGTCTTACGCCCACTCTCGACTCACCGGTGTGATCTGTGTGTGAATCCACAAAGCTCAAGGGTTGTTGGACAGAAGAAGCAACACAGCGAGGACACAAATACAGAAACAGGCGTCAGGCAGGCGAGGTGGTACCAAAGAGGGGTAAGAGGGTGTTTACCACCCTCAGTCTGCACACCACACACACCATGCATGCCACATGATCACATGACCATTTGCAGCTGCTCGCTATTCTCACTATCAGCATGACATGAGCTGACCAGTGTGTGAGTGAGTGAGTGTGTGTGTGAGTTGTACATACTGTATGCACAGTATGCAGCAACTTTAGAAACTGACGTCACAAAAATACCTATGGGCTCCAATTATCCTCTAAATGCCTCTCCACTGTAACACACTAAATCGATGAAACTCATGGACAGGACCAACACGTTCCCTCTGAAAGCTCTTCTATTATAGGAATTTGGAAGCGTTGCAGCTGTCACCAGTGGTTTGCTTCAGTCTCAGATGTCCTGACCCATTTTTTTAGACATAATGGAGAACACATTTGAAGCCTTAATATCCTGAATTGATTCCAATCAGCTTTTTAGTAGTTGGCATGGTACTCTGGCTATCAATGGAGACTTAATACGGGCAACAAACTATTATTTATCGTTCTACGAATTCTTAACTTCTCTTAAAGCCTCTTTTATCCTCCCAACACCCCTGGCATGCTAGATGTCCATCCTTAACATGTAACCAGAGATGTTTTGCTTCTGTTTTTACCTGCCTGGTGACAACCCGGGGATCATGGGTCAGTCGGGCTCTTTCTTTGGCAGCACTGGGGTCAAAGGTCAGGAAGGAGAGATGGGAGAAGCATTGAGAGGCTTCTGCTTTCCCTTCAACCTGCTTGTAATCAATGCAGTTGAAAAGGTTTCTCAGCATAAAAGAGGCTTTAAGAGAAGTTAAGAATTCGTAGAACGATAAATAATAGTTTGTTGCCCGTATTAAGTCTCCATTGATAGCCAGAGTACCATGCCAACNGTGTGCCTTGGCAGTCTCAAAAATTGTGAACAAAACTAACATTGCTTTTTATTTTAATTAAATACATAATATTTCACATCAAAAGAAACAACAATGTTTTAACAAATCATATTAAATAATGTGATGACAGAACTGTAAACAGAATAGCTGAAACTTTAACAAAATAACTCTGATACCTCTAATCATTAACCTATGTTTTTATAACTGAGTTAACTCTGTGTGTTGCTGCTAGCATACATAACACCTGACGTGGAAACGTTACTCGTGGACGGGGTTACCGAGCTGCTAGAAAGACAGTCGAACCTGGTGCATTCCTCCGTCTGGATGTGGAGCACTTTTGCTAAATGTTTAGACAAATTGCTCGTGTTACCGCCCTTATATGATAAACTGTTATTGCACTTTTGGTAACGAGCATTGNATGTTAGTTTTGTTCACAATTTTTTTAGTTAGTTTACCTTATTTCTTGTCAAAAGAACCGTTAATACCATCGTTAAAAGGACCGGATCGATAAGCAGTGTCGATATAAGTAGTAGTACAGTTAAAACCTTAACGATCCGAATAATCGATTAATCGTTTCATTAATCGATAGATTAATCGATTATCAAATTAGTCGTTTGTTGCAGCCCTACTATCAATGGAGACTTAATACGGGCAACAAACTATTATTTATCGTTCTACGAATTCTTAACTTCTCTTAAAGCCTCTTTTATGCTGAGAAACCTTTTCAACTGCATTGATTACAAGCAGGTTGAAGGGAAAGCAGAAGCCTCTCAATGCTTCTCCCATCTCTCCTTCCTGACCTTTGACCCCAGTGCTGCCAAAGAAAGAGCCCGACTGACCCATGATCCCCGGGTTGTCACCAGGCAGGTAAAAACAGAAGCAAAACATCTCTGGTTACATGTTAAGGATGGACATCTAGCATGCCAGGGGTGTTGGGAGGACTAGGACTTTTACAGGTCCAGGATATTTAGCTATTCCACAAAAGATGGACTCTTTTGTGTTTGAAATGTATTCAAAAGCACCCTGAACCACCAGTAAAGATCTTCCACAAGAACAACATTTAAATTGTTGGTTTTTATTGATTACTGTAAAAATGCACTTTTTTTTAAAAGCTTGTCTTATTTGTATTGAAGGAATATTTGTAAGCGTTGACACGGCAGGCATCTGTGCCAAGTTTCTGACAGGTATTTGGCAAAAAAGATGTTCATCAAGCAAAAGAATGTTGCTCAAATTTGCCACAGTGCAATACAATGTCATACAATCAGATGTTGCATTGGCCAAGCAAATGCTTTCAAGCAAACATTAAAGGAAAATCACTATTCCCAATCGCTAAAAAACAACTGCTGAAATTATAACTTACAAAGTTTATAAAATCAGGTGTTGCACTATTATTAATTATCTATTGAATTGGCATCAGAAAAGCACTCAAACTTGTTGAACTTTACTGAATTGGGCCTTCCTGGATTGGACTTGATCCTCTTAATTCACCAGTACCTGAAGCAACACGTCCCACCAACACAGACCCCTGCATTGTTTAAAAGAAACACAGTGCTCACTCTGAACATAGCCGGTGTGTCCTTTTATCATGTTGCTCTCACGGCCATTTATATAACAAACCCAAGACCTTCAGCTGGATAAAGCAGACTTAAATCTAGCTGATACTTGAACAGATCTGGCTTTTGGGTGGGGTGGGTACAGTATGCCCAGAAAGATGTAAGGGGAGCATGCCTATTGCAAAGAAAGAAAGCATGAAATAAAGAGAGAAGGTGTTATGCATGATTTAGTAAGAGATAAGAAGAAGGAGAAATGAAGCTGTGCTAAGAAGCAGGAAGGAAGTAAAGAGTGAGAAACCAAGATGGTGAAATATACAAAGACAAAAAAAAAGATAGAAGTGAGAGTTGTGTACTAACAAAAGCAGAGTGCATGTAAGAAGGAGAGGAATGTTGCATCTGTCAACATTGAACTTGCAGCCTAACAAACTTGAACACATATATAACCAGCTTTCTAGTTCATGTAAGATTTTAGGGACAAAATACAAAAGGAATCCTCAGATTTTTAACTCCACGTTTCCACAAAAGACCCACTTCATTCAGGCTCTCAGCCCTAAAGATTTAACTTTAATTTGTTTTAATGCTATTTTGCAAGCTATCATAGAGAGCTCTGATGTTCATCCAACTGCTCTTATATTCAAAATGAACACTTCTTAGATTTCACTGTAATTTAACTTGTGAGAAATGATATAAACCAGAGGCTAGATGGGAATGACTGTTAACTGCTAATCATAGGTTTCACCCCCTGGGCTATTATCTTCCCACCCACAGTGGAGACAGTAACATAGTTCAGCGCTACTGTAAATCAGCTAAACAACTCAAATCTTTCCATATGGAGACAGTGACATGAACAAAGTAACCACAAACCATTGTGTGCAGGTACATTTAGATGAAATACTAAGCTAGTGAAAACTTGTTTAGGGAGAATATGATACATTTGTTTTAATACCTGGTTATAACTCGCAGGGTGGAAAGAAAATGTGTGCGGTTTATTTTTGTTTTGCTCTCTCATTTTGCCCTGCTAAAGATGTGAGGAAATAGTCCTCTGCTCAATTAAAGAACACAATAAGCATACAGCAGGGAAAAAGTAGAGACCCTCAGGGGGCAGTTTGGAACAAAGCCAATCTGTTACTGCCACCCCTGTGTTTGGTTTCCTCCACTGGGAGCAAAAGATTGGAAAGGTTTCATCCATAGCTGCTGATCTGATGAACGAAGACATCAATAAAGAGCTGCTTGGTGGTTTGGCTGTGTACTTAGAAGTTGTTTTACCATGTCTTTACACTGTTATAATATCTGCACTTTAAATATACTCTAAACATATTTTTGTGTGTAGGGGTGGAGATCTCTTAGCCCTCTCTTATGCTCAGGCGGTCTCCAATAACACCCTTTGGCAGGTCGTGGTGTGATTCATTTAACCTGACCCCACAGGTCAAATACAATGATTTATTAGACTGCTAATAGTTTATTTAAGCATATTATTCTGAATGATTTAACCATTTAAATTCACTGGTCAGATAAAATAATGTATCAGCCCTAACATTGGCTTCCTTATTATAAAACATTCTCTCTAGTGAGTTTTATTTTCTAAAGCATCTGTTTCCATTCAGCTTGTTGCATTGTAATTGTGCATAGGCAGTTAAACCACACTTGCAGTGTACCACATTTCACAGAGGACACAGACTATTTAAGAAAAACCTGTTCAAGAAAGCTTGAATGTTTGTCAATAGATCAGGTAACGAAACATTGTTTTTCTGATGGAATTTTTGAATGGATAAACGTTCCTCCCATATAAACTGCACTACTAGCAAAGTTATGGGTCAAACACCAATAGTAGTTTTGATTTAAAAAGTGGGCTTGACTTAGGTCTACTAAAACACTCAAGACAGGAAAGGCAACGCATTTAGACACATTTTTCAAAAACTACATTCCAACGTCTTTTTGTGGACACATTGAGTGGCCATAGATTTCAGAAACCCTGAGTCAAAGCTCATTTTAGTCCTGCTAACATTACTTCTGGTAAGCTCTGTGACATCTGAGCGGCCATGTTGCAGAAAAGTTTAACTCTCTGTTCACCTTGTTCCCCCGAATGAATTTGTTCCTCTAACCCACCACAAGAATATATACATTTCAAGTCAGCTTTACGTAAACTACAACATAAAAACACTTTTGTGGCTGTGCTTAATGCCTTAACGGGCTGTAAAAAAGGAATCTACTCACTGGGACTATTTTCGGCAGGTATTCGTGTCCAAATATCAACACTGAAACGTGTGGTTCTAACTTAAACGCAGTTTCTTCTCAGTTGAAAGAAATAACCGCTTTCTCTTTTCGCCGTGTTGAAGTAATAATATCCCGTTATTTATTTCCTTAAAGAGCCATGTTTCACACCCTCCTCTGCTTCAGTTGCTGTACCGGTGGCTGCTGCCGTGATGAAGTGTACTATTTTTGAAAGAAAAGTCACTCCTCTCTTCGGTCCGTCCTGCCCCCTCCCCACCCCGGTGACAGTAAGCGGTGTGTGCCGCTGACACACAACCGGCTAATTACGGATTCTTCATTAAATAATACACTTTTAATGTAGTTTCACTGCCACTCACTTATTTTTCATGGCGAAAAGATGGCGTATAAATCGTTCACATTATCCGTTGCTTTAACCGGTACAATTTACAACGGTTCACGTTCTCTCTTGAACGTCATTCCAACCGTTACTTTTTTTGCTATGCTAATTAAACACTTGCTAGCATGCTAACTGGAAGTTGGAGCTATTCGAGCTAATCAAGCACAATTGTGGATATTTTACATTAAGTTCAGTGGTGGAAAGTAACTAAGAAGTCTGAATACTCTCAAATATTGTAGCCTGACGTTTTTACATATATAATCACACTTAAAATAGTAGTGAAAAGTACATCCGAAAGTTACATTTAGAATGGAAGCCAAAAACAGCCATGGCCAAAGTTTTTCTGTACGAAAAAGATCATTTAATTAGTGTTCTTAAGACCTTGAGTATCACATTTCAAAATAACAAATGTTGTTTCCCAAAATAACAGGGTTCAAACATTTTAGCATCTTCCTTTCATGAAAAGTTAGGCTACTTGTATTTGTTTCCTTGAGATCACGAGTTTTCTATTTCATTATCTCAAAATTACAAATGCAGTTTTCCCCGACATGACAGGATGATTTACTCAAGATGTGGATATAATTACATGATTGATTTGAGATCACAAGAAAATGTTTCATAAGTAAAACCTAATTGTCACAGGCTCGTATTTTGTTATGTCAGGCATCCACGCTTTAATAGCCTAGAATGTTGAGGTTTCATCTCCTAGTTTTATTATTTTCATTTTCTGCTATGTCTGTAAGTTTCAACTCATCTAATTCAGAGGAAATATAGTCATGTTTTACCCTACTGCTTTAATTAATGGGCTACCTTAAGATCAAAGTTATAAAATATAATTTAAAAATACATTCTGATTTATTATCATGGATAGGATAGGACATAGGCATCAATTCTTGGTGAAATTCAAAAGCCAGCAGCACGGACAAATAAAATCCTCTGCTTTAAATTAAAGCAAACATAGACAACATTGAAGAAATGTACGCATTAATACATCACTACTTAACTCAACAATAATATGCTCTATTCTATAAGTGACTATTTGACAATAATGCCACAATGCAACTCAACCTCTCTCTCTTCCTCTTTTTATTGTATTGGACAAACCTTCAAACCCCAGGGGTTGTGAAATTCACCAGCCCAGTGTGATTCAACAACACACACAGTGGACTCTACAGGGTTTTCGTATTGAAAAGAAAAACATTGACCATTTTGTATCAGGCCAAGTAATTTAGACAATCATTTGCTGGACAGTTTCCCAAATAGACAAGTGCAAAGCCTTGAGCATACAGTATAATCACAGTTTAGCATATATGAAACGTATCTACTGGATATCAGGCAATATAGATGATGTATAGAGATAAATTAACATATTTGCCAAATTATTACTCTGATACATTAGAGATGTTTAAATTCTCCTCTAAAATCCATATTAATGACATTTAAAATGTATCTAACCGAAAATGTTGGAGAGAGGAATCAAGATTTTTGGAAAACAGTCAATGTACTTCTTAACCTCAATAACATCAACAAAACACAGAGTGCATGGCAACACAAGACTTTAACACGCAACTGGAATTTCCTTCCTTGTGTAAATCTGACCAAAAGAAACGGAACTCCCAACCTGCGTCAGGTTTTCACTGTAGGATCAATGCAATGCACGACAGAAGTTACGCAAACATTAGGAGATAAAAGCGCTGCCAACAGAATTCTCTGCAGAATGGAGCTCTGATTTTTACATTGCAGCAGTGGGGCATTATTTGATCTATTAACTCTACTTTTTAAAACAGTCTGAGGATGTGGACTCTGGGTCTTCAGGTGGTCGTCATCTGTGTTTTCCTTCAGGTATGTAAACATACAACATACCATTAAAATTACATTTTTTTATACTAAACATGTAGAAATTGTGATGACACTAAATATGTTAAACTTCTAACTCTTTTATTAGAAAAGGCAACACAACAGGACGTTATAATATGTTTTAAACATGTATTGCTTTTGTGCATTATCTATTTATATATATGTAACTGCTCCAAAAGTAAAACATGTATGTTTTCTATTACTAATACTTACTAAATTCTATGCATGTTTTAATTTTTTGGAACCTTGACTTCAAAATATACATCAAACACAAAATATTTCTAACCAACACAACACGAAATAAATCTTTGTTTACATTTAAACATTAATTAGTAACTGATCCATTAGGGTGGCTGTAGCTCAGGGGTAAATGGACATCTATCAATCAGAGGGTCAGTGATTCGATCCCTCCAGCAGTCAATGTGTTGAAATGATCTTTAGCAAGACTTAACTCCAAATTGCTCCCGTAAGGCATGTCTAAAGCGTCAGCTAAATTACATCTAATTGAAATGTTTTAATGTCCCCTCAGGTGCCAGGCTGTTTTCCATCATGCCTCATTATTGGCTCTGTAGCTAACTGTGGCTCCAAGAACCTGCGCTGGGTCCCTCCTCTTCCTCCTCACATCACCCACCTGTTCCTGGAGATGAACCACATCTCTGAGATTAACTCCTCCTCCCTGTCGGGGCTGGAGCAGCTGCGGGAGCTGGACCTCGGACGGCAGTATGTGCCACTTGTGATCAGAAACAACTCCTTCAGCGGTCAAAGCCGACTGAGGAGGCTGGTGCTCGGGTTCAACATCGGCCTTCAGCTGGAACCTCAGGCTTTTATTGGACTGTCCGGTCTGCAGAATCTCCACCTGGATTACTGCTCACTTCAAGACACCATCCTGAAGGAGAACTTTCTGGAGCCACTGTCATCCTTACAGTCTCTTGACCTGTTTGGTAACCAGATAAAGACTCTCCAGCCTGCAATGTTCTTCGCAAACATGACTAATATGAACGTTTTTAATCTCAAATTGAACAAAATTGACAGAATATGTGAGTCTGATCTGGTTGGTTTCCAGGGGAAGAACTTTGAGTTTCTCAACTTGGGCTCTGTTCACCTTAAGGCTATGTTAAATGAACGTTTTGACTGGCAGAAATGTGGGAATCCTTTCAGAGGAATGTCCTTTCAGACACTCGATCTGTCCAACAACGGGTTCAGTGTGGGTAAATCTAAGCATTTCTTCTCAGCCATTAAGGGAACTAAGATCTCCCACCTCATTATGTCAGGACACATGGGTAAAGGGTTTTCCTTCAATAACCTCCCTGATCCAGACCGGAGCACGTTTCAAGGACTAAATGAGAGCTCAATCCGCACTTTCGATCTGTCTAAAAACAGGATATTTGCATTGCAACAGGGGGTTTTTAGTCCGCTGAAAGAAGTCACAATCATTGACGTTTCCCAAAACAAAGTGAACCAGATACACAGAAATGCCTTTGAAGGTCTTCAGGGAAATGTAAAAATGCTCAACCTGTCACACAACCTACTGGGGGAAATCCACTCTCACACTTTTGCTTCTCTGACAAACCTGGGAGTGTTAGACTTGTCTTACAACCACATTGGTGCTCTTGGTTATGGCGCATTTAGTGGCCTTCCCAAATTAAAAGCACTGTATCTAACAGGAAACTCATTGCGTGACCTCGGCTTCCCTGCGTCCCTCCCTAGTTTAGATTACCTCCTGTTGAAAGACAATAAACTGACGTCAATGAGCAGTATTGCACGATTGTCCGGTAATGTCATGCATCTGAACATTCAGGACAACAGATTAACAAACCTTGGGGATGTTCACATGTTGTTTACTCAGTTAAAGCGCCTGAAGCATCTTCTCTACGGAGGAAACACAATCAGGAGGTGCATGCCCAGTGGACGAGCTTCAGCAATTGGTTTGAACGAAGTCCAAGTTCTGGATCTTCACAGCAGCTCCCTGCAGGCTGTCTGGTCTCAGGGGAGATGCTTGAACTTGTTTGACAATCTTGGACATATGATTGGTGTCGACTTGAGACTCAACGCGCTGAAGTCTCTTCCTCAAGGCATTTTTAAGGGCCTCACATCAGTAGTGGAGATGGATCTCTCCTCCAACAGCTTGACTTATCTCCACAATGATGTCTTACCCAAAAGTCTCAAAATACTCAACCTCTCCAACAACTTTGTAGCCTCCCCGGACCCCGCTGCTTTCCGCTTTCTCAGCTTCCTCGACTTAAATATGAACAGATTTCACTGCGATTCAAACCTGAAGAGCTTCCTGAGTTGGCTGAACAAGACCAATGTGACCTTCCTCAGTCCTGTTGAGGATCTCAGGTGTGAATATCCGTCTGGTTTCTATAAAGTTCCTCTGTTAGATTACTCCACTCAGGTCACACAGCAGTAAAAGCAACAGTGAACAAGTATGAACATCAAGTGCCATGTAATGTTCATTTGAGTTTACCACATGGTGTTTTCTCCATGACATGAATTCATAAGTGTAAAATAATGTATTTTGAATGAAAAGTTGTTAAATCCATTTTAGTAATCACCTCCGTGTAGACCATATCATACATTTGTATATTAGAATGTCAAATTGTATATGATTTTGTAAAATGAAATCAATGTGTTGCTTAATCTACTGCAACAAAGCATTTCTAACAGATGTACTTTATAAAAAACGTTTTATTTGATTAGGTACTTTTGAAGGTATCCTTACTTCCTTTTGCATTTGTAGTCACTAAATCACCGCTCAAGTATGTGACCATCAAAAATCCATAAAATTCATTCGATAAAGATGAAATATCACGTAGTTCTTTTTTTGTTGATATTTTACAGCACAAAAGTAATTTGTAACAACTAAAAGTTCAATTCAATTCAATTCAAAACCTTTATTTATCCAGATGAAAAATGTACATGGATTACAATTTACATATCAATCCACATGTACAGGTACCAACAGCATCTGATTGTGTAGCATCCAACCGAGCTTTAAAAACATGTAGTGGTACCAGATTGGTAATTTTCCATTCTTTTTGCTGACTGTTCCATGTTAGTGGAGCTGCACATCTAAAAGCTTTCTTCCCTAAAACAGTCCTAGCACTTGGCACATTTAATAAAACCACAGCATGTGATCTCAGGCAATAAGTACTTT